TACCATAAATACTTGAACTACACACACCCTCTAATAAGAACACATTTTGACCCTGATGCTTGTGGGTGGGCATTTGGGATGAAAGTGTTTGATTTGGTTCAATGGAGGAAAAGGAACGTGACAGGAATCTACCACTATTGGCAAGAAAAGAATGCAGACAGGACATTGTGGAAACTTGGTACATTGCCACCTGGGTTGTTAACCTTCTATGGGCTTACCGAGCCCTTGGATCCATCATGGCATGTGCAAGGATTTTGTTATACAAATGTTGATCCTCATATGATATGATATAAAGAGGAGTTGTTCTACACTTCAAACGAGAACTCCAAACCATGTTTAAAGATTGGGATGGAAAGGTACAAGCCTGTGTGGGAAAAGTACGTCAATTATTCTCACCCATTATTGCAACAGTGTAATTTTCATTGATTTTCCACTGCATCATGACGACGGTGGTAGAAAATAGTTATACACATATATAGTAAAGTAACCAATCGTTCTTGATACAACTTTTTAGTTTTGAAGAGTTTGAGAGTCTGTAATCAAAGGTCGAACATCCACCTTAGCATGGCATCAAAGTTTTAAAGATTTATGCCAAGGTCTCCCGAGTAACCATTTTTCATGAAAAAACCAGGTGAGTTTTATATTTTAAGGTTTTGTGGATTAATGTTACGGGATTAGTTAATTCTTCTGTTCAACAAGACTTTCGTTTTCTCCAACGTTAATCCCATATCGTTTAGCTAGAAAATAACGATACCACGAAGTCTTTGGTAGGCAGGGGTATCTCTCGTATCCTTATTGCTCACTCCCTAAAATTTGTCATTCGAATCTCCATGTACGAAAGCATCCATGTATTTTTCGAGTAGCGTTCTTTAAAAACAGAATAAAAATATATGAAAATGTTTTATATTTCAAGAATTTAAAAGTTATTGAATGATCTATTTTAAAGGTATCAAGGTTAATCAACCAATTGTTTTGATATGAAATTTCACAATTTCTAAAATATTAAAAAATGTTTAATTTGTTTCAAATCTATTAAATTTTAATTTTCTTAATGGATAAAAATATTTGAATTATTACCAAATACACAAAAAAATATTTAAATATTAAATAATAATTATAAAATATTAATATTGATGATTTTTTTTTCTAATTAATCTTGACTAATATTATCTTTTTAGTCAAAATTTTTTAAATGGTGTGGACAGAGTTTATTTATAATTAGTTGAAATTATTTCCAGTTTTTACGGTTATCTTTACATTATTGAATTTTTTTCTAACCTTTTTTTTTTATCAATGTAGGCTGATAAATTTTCTCAATTAACATTTATCATAAATAATCCTAATTAATACTTGCTAAATTTTTTTTCTCCGTTAATGTTAATATAAAATAATTCTAACATATTATTGACAATAATAACATTAATATCATTGTAAAAGAAATTATTATATTACATCAACAATAAAAATAGTTACGAGAAATGTCAATGGAATGACATTAATTTATAAAGAAATAGTTTCTTTGAACAACAAATAATCCTAACAAGTTAAATAAAAAATAAATCTTATCAACATAAAAAAAAAAATAACTCTTATCATCTCAGCAATATCTTAATCTTAAATAATATCTTAATGTTTGTCAAATCAACAACTTCTAATCAAATTTAAATTAAAAAAGTTATATAAAGAACATAAAATTCCTTTTAATATTTAAAATAAAAATTAAAAATATTTATTTCTGATTAATTACTTTTATAAGATTCTATTATTTCAATAATTACTTTTAGGTTATATGAAAATTAGTATACTAATATGGTGATGAAGAGTTTAGTATGCACGTTATGATTGGAACTAATTTCACCCAACTATAACATTACTAAAAGAAAAAGTTAAATCTTTATATAATATTTGCTATTTTTGTTAATTTGTTTTTTTTTATTGAGTGGACAATCCCTTCACTCTCACATTCTATTGTTTAAATATTCTTCTATCAGTAATGTTTAACTACACTTCTCCCTTATTCAACCATTGGGAGTGTTTGCATGTATGCTTGAATTTTTCTTTGTCCAATTGTCGTCAAATCCAAAGTTTAAAACAAATTGTTATTCCGTTAGATTCGACCTTTTCTTTTTATTTTTAATTTATTATAAACATTCCCATCAAGTATTAGGAGTTTTTGTAGATGAATATGGATAGATTTTAGTCTAACTTCTTCCTCAAATCCAAAGTTTAAAACAAAATGTAGTATTTCTTTCCTTGTTATAAAAACAAATACACTTTAGTTTGATTTGAATTGGTTTGTTTCTGCATTGATTATGAACAATCTTATCATGTATTTTTATCAAAAACAACTTACGTTAGGCGTATGCTATTACTTGAAAATTTTATTAAAAAGAAAAAAGAAAAAAATGAAAGAAAAATAATGAAGGATCATATATGCTGTTACATAAAAAAATTATTAAAAAGAAATGAAAGAAAAATATGGAAGGATGATATCATGTATAGTAAAATAATATCTATTATGAAAAAAAAAACTCACAATTTTCTTCATGAAAATTATTTCATATTTTTAATTTCATATACCAAAATAGACAAATTCTTCTTCTTATTAAAAAAAATTATCATTAATCAATCATCTCACATTTTAAACAAAAGACCTTTAATTTTTAGAAGTTTTTATTTTGGAAGATTTAATATGAATTTTATTTGGCCTATCTCTATCGAATTTCCTTTAAGTTTGAATCGATTTATCATCCTCTTAGTATTAGAATTTTTCCTTCATCAAGCATATTAGTTCATTTATAAGCTATTTTCAATTCCTCTACAAAACGAGTATTCTTAGATGTCAAATGATTATAAATTGTTGCTAAGTTATTATATGTTAATCTAATTGTTATAAACCTTGCAAACTATTCATAATGGAAGTGACATCCACTAAAGAAAACATATCAACCAAGAAATCAAATTTCACTTATACTTCACTAATTAGATTCTTAATAAGAGAAGATCGATTCAAAATACAAAAATTATCATGATTAACTACCACAAGCTCTGACTGTGACTAAACAGTAAATCACGTTTGACTACCAATACTTTAAAGAAAGGTCATGAATGCAAACTCAACGTTGAATTTTTTTGAGTTTTATGAAACTAAAGATAAATTATTTTGTTAAAAAAAAAACACAAAAAATGTGAAGAGATAAATTTCAAGTTTTAACAATCAAAATCCTTTACATGTCTTCTAAAGAAGAAAAACAAATTTATACAACCTTTGGCCAAGTAGAATTATCTTCCATGAATCCAAATGCTTTCAAGCCACGTCAAGTTTTTATAAAGATCTAAATATGTATAAGGTTTATCTTTTTTCTTAATAAAATATACCTATATAAATAATTTTTTCACTCCTTCAAACAAATTAAGATAAATTTATTTAGAAATATGCATATAGACCAAATATCTCTTTATATAAGAATAAGGTAATTAAGATAAAATAATATCATACACATTATTAATGATTCTCAGCACATAGAAATTTTTGTAGTCACACATTTAAAAAACATTTAGAAAAAAATTATTTTCCATAATCTTAATCTTGTAAGCAATTTAAAATAATATAAAACCTCATATAAGAAATCATATCTATATCTCACCAACTTTTTATCTTAACATGTATTTTTCACTTTTTCTTTTTTTTAACAGTTTCGCTTAATTTAATCCATTTTTTCTTTCACATCTTTGATTTCACATAACTTTTTCAGATTCTTTGGGATTAAATTGTTATTGCCTTTTTAATCATCCTTCCTTTTGTGAACTTGCTAAGTTTTTCAATCATGTATATTAATATTAAAATGGAAAATAATTATTGACTTTTAATTATCTTAGTTTATAATATTGTCAACCACTCTACATACATTAAATTTTTAAGCATTATATAAAAATATATTGTTTTCCTTATAATTTAAGTAGGGAAATGGTAATTGAAAATTAGAAAAAAAATTCTTAAAATTCCAAAGTTAGAAAGAAGAGCAGAGTTCACAGAAGCTTGAAGTTCTTTGTTGGCTAATACTTGGCTCCATGCTTTCAGTTTCACCACTTTGTTCAAAACAAAACATCACTTTCCCCTTTTTGCCTCCAATCAACCACCACTTTCTAACATACTACTACACCTTTTAAATATCTTCTTTTATTATCCCATAAATGCTACAATATCAGCTGTGCTCATCGATATTATCTATGATCCCATTTCGGTATAAAGATTAGGACAATGCCACTCTAACCTCACACTTAAACATAATTACTATCTTCATTTCTCAAATTATAGGGTACTTTTTTATTTATTTATATAACTTAAATTTATGAGATTTCTTTTTTAAATTTACTTCAGTACAAATATAAAAGTGTTAACTAGTTAAAGATTAAGTAAAAAGTAAGGCATAATTGATAAAAGTTAATTAATATTAATTTCAACTTAGAAAATATATAAATAAAATATTTTTTAATTTATATTGGAAAAGTTTATTTACAATTTATTCATAAAACTAATTACAAACATTAGAAAGAATCCATTACCAATATTTCCAAAATAACACCATATATATCAAAGTGAGACATTTTTTTCCTGTTTTATGATTTTCGAAATGAACTCTTATCTTAATGATTGCTTGGAGCAAACAATTAATTATATTATAAAAGACGATAAACTTTCCTTATGTAATTTTTTTTCTCTCTCTCTTTCGTCAAGAACAGAGATGATGATTAAATGAATAATTTAAAACTGACGGGAAGAGAAAACAGAGGAATCCCTTCCACTTGTGCCGGCGCTTTTCTCTGTATTAATATTTTGCCGCGCCATTTTCATGCGCCCACTGTTACCAACGTTGCACTCACACGTTAAAACTTCATCTGTTCTGTTTTTTTTTTCTGTTCTGTTTTTTCTTTCTGTTCTGTTTTCAAATCCATTTTTTCATCAGATTTTTCTTTTGTTCTTTCGTTTTCTTCTTTCAATGAAGAGCGATTCCAATGGCTCTGTCTCTCCTTATTCTCCCAAACCCAGAACCCGTCTCGTCAGTTCTCGGTTCATGTCTCCAAACTCGACCGCTTCGCCTGAACCTGGTTCAGGCTCCCCGCTCGGCCGGTTCAACCGATTGGCGAGGAAAGACTCCACCACTCTCGCCGATCACATTGGCAACGAGAGGCTCAAAGAAAGGGAAGAACACCACCAACATCAGAATAAGAAACCCACAAACAGAACAGGCTCTGTTTTTTCTGCTCTCACGAAACAGAGAAGCTGCAGGGAGTTCAGAAACAACACCAATTGCTTAGAAGAAAACAATCAAGATCGAGAAGTTGTTGGTAGGACCACGAAGAATGGTGTCTCCGGAAAGTCTCCTTGTCCTTCTCCTGTGGTGAAGAAAACAAGTTCTTATTTTGATCCAGCGAGACACTCTCTGGATGAGAACACCTTTAAGGGAAGCTTTCTTTGTGCTCAGAATTCAATTGATTCGGAATCGGAAAATACGAGTTTGGATTCTGTCCCTCTGGAAAGAACATTGAGTTCGAGGAAATTGGGTAGGGAGGTTTCTTCTAAGTACATGGCAGCGTGTGGAAGAAGAGGAGAAGCTTCCGATTCAGACCCTCTGTCTTTTGACGATTCATGGATGATGAAGAAGAATATCACCCAGAAAGCGGTGAAGAAGGCTAATTCGCTTATTGGGTACATGAGTTCCAAGTCTCAGTGGGCATTGTCTCCAGGGAGATCAGGATCACCGGCTTTGTCTTTGGAAAGCAAGGATAAGCCATTGTCGTTTTCGAGCTTGAAGCCTCCACACAAGCGAGTGGAGAAGATTCTGAGCATGGGTTTTGATCTCTTCAGGACTAAAAAATCTTTTTCTACGACTGAGGTGGTTCATCAGTTGCGTCTGCTTCATAACCGGTTGATCCAATGGCGGTTCGCAAATGCTAGAGCTCACACTGTCAATCACTCCATGTCTCTTCAGGCTCAGGTATTGCTCACACTATTCAATTTTGTATAGTTTGCCACTCATATATAGAACATAGATCTGTCAGAGATGGTTGATTCAGTTCACTTTGGAGAAACTGACTATAGTTACCACTTCATTAAACAACTTTCGAAAAAATAAAATGGAGTTTCATAGTCACAGTGAGTTTTAAAAGTTTTAACAGATCAATCAAAATCATCCCTACAATAATGTAAACTGATTTAAGATAGCTATTATGAATGTAAATTTACACTTTGCTATATATGGCTATATCTGATTAAACAACATTATTTGTTCTATATTTAGCTTAAACAATTATCATTCTTTGGATAATGATTTAAAATTTTGTGTGTTACGGAATGGTTTTATATTGAATATCTAACGAGGTTAATGTTTTCGTGAATTGTTATCCATACATTTAGAGCAATTTGATAAACGTTTGGGATGGTTTGACCAATTTGCGGCATTCGGTGATGCAAAAGAAGATACAGGTTGAGAGAGAAAAACTCAAGATGAAGCTAAATTTTGTATTGCATTCTCAGGTGAGTGTAGTGATTTATATCAAAGATGAATATTGAATTGATTAAAAGATATTGTAATTGAGATATTAGTATTATTTTAGAGGTTTAAGTTTTTAGTCATTTGTATGTTATGGGTTGGTAGATGAAGTTGTTGGAAACGTGGGGATGCATGGAGAGACAACATTTAGCTGCAATTACCACAATGAGAGAGTGTTTGCATTATGTTGTATGCAAAGTTCCTCTATTGGAAGGGGCAAAGGTAAGTTCAAATGTTATTTTTTACTATGAAAAGATATGATACTATTTATAGTATTTTTTCTTTTACTTCACTGTATTTAAATTCATACATAATCAATACAGATCATATTATTCAATACTTTTTTTTCTATCCTTATTTACAGGTGGATATACCATTAGCATCCATTGCTCAGCGTTATGCATCTGATCTAACAGATTCCATTGTGTCAGTGTTATCTAGTTTTTCACCTTTGGTATGTTTGGTAACGTTAAACTACGATTGATATTATCTAGTGAAAACTTAGAATTGAAATTGAAGTTGAGATTTCTTCATAATCAGGCTTATAAAACATCGGAGTTGATATCAAAGTTAGCAAGAATTGTTGCGGAAGAGAAATTGCTCTTACAAGAATTTAACGATGTGTTCCATGACATATGTGTTCTTGAGGTAACTAAATTTCTAATTTTTTCATGAAATTTATCTTTTTGATGGAACAAATAAGAAGAAAAAGAAGTTCTACTTCATTGGGATTCTATCATATCATAGAAGATATGTGTTTTAGTTAATTTTGTAGCAAAGTAGAAAACTTGTGTTTATTTATTACTTAGACATAAAATATTTTACTGACTTATTTATTGATTGATCTTGACCATGTGTTGACAGCTTAAAGAAAGGAGCCTGGTCTGCAGTCTCATTAAACTTGAATGTTGAAAAGGAATATATGAAAGCTGCAATTAGTGTCAAAAGATGACTTGGTAGGTATTGAAGTACATAGTTGATCAGGAAAATTAACAAATGTAAAAACTACAAATAAAATTCAATGGTAACAAACTAAGGAGTATTGTATATAGAGGCTGTTAACATAGAATTAGCATTTGTTCGTACAATGATTCTACCTCCATAATTAGATTATTTTTTGGCTGAGCATGCAGGATTAGTTTCTATTTAGCTATAATAAATTTGTCAGTGAAAGTTTGAACTTCGTTATGCAATTTACTGGTATTTTTTTTTTCACAATCAGATTAGAGGAAAAATATAATCATTTGTGTACAATGCTTGCATATGAAATTGCTCATTTTACTTGAAATGTAGGCTACACTAGTCTTCAGTTAGAACTGAATACTACTACGAAATCTTATGCTAAAGTTTTATGAAAATAATAATGTTTAACTAATTCAATTCTTTACCCTTTGAAAATATTTTATTTACTATGTAATATTACTAGTAATTACGATAATTATTCATTAGTATATAGATGTTACTTTTAGTATGTATTTATTTACACCATTTTTATATTTGAATACATATATAATTAACGTAAATCACACGATTTAATATATATTTTAATCCTCCAATCTTAAAAATTAAATTTAAGTATATTTTTTGATCCATGAAAATATTACGATTTAGTCATTTTTTAATCTTCATGGAAGCTCTATTAGTTTATACTGAAAAGAAAAACCTTAAAATATAATGCGTAATAAAATCTTGGAAGAAAGAAAAACCTTAAAATAGTTTTGAAATAGATTTTTAATTAACGTTGATCTAATCATAATTTATAAATAATTATATTTTATCTTTAAATGAATCAATATTAAAATTAATATATTAATTCATAACCAATCGATTTGTTTCGATGACAGTTGAGATTCACCATTAATATACTTTATTTTTATTTTATACGGATGTGCGTTGTTACTTCGTTCAACAAGTATTTCTCAAGCTAATCACGTCAAGCAAATAATTTGACGTGACTACCTGATAAATACGAGGTTGAACAGACAATAATTTACGGAAAAAAAAAACAACTCAAACCATACAAGTCTTTAATAAAAAAACATTTTGGAATACCAAAGATTATAGATTCAATCTAATGTTTTATAAGTAACATCGATGAAAAAACTACTTCATACTTTATTAGTTTATTTCCACTTCATCTGAATTAGAATGAATAGTAATTAACTTTGTATTTTTAAATGGGTATATATCCCTCCATTTTTTTTAATTTTCTTCTTTTAGTTTTCTAAATTAAAAATTACATTTTTAGGTCTTTAATTTGAAGAAAATAATCAATTTGAAAGATTAAAAAAAATAGTTTTAAATTAGAGAGTCTAAAATGATTTTAAATGGGATGGCTTAAGATAAAACTGACCTAAATTAAAAAGACACTTTTACTAAAAAAATATAAAAGATAAATAAATTTTCATGTCATTATTTTAGATAGATATTTAATTGATGATGCGGAGGTTGTTAATGGATTCAATAAAAGTATAAAAAAAGGAACATTTTCTATAATTTAGAAATTTAACAGATAATTTTTAATTTGGGAACCAAATAAAAAAGTTATGTAACATCCCATCAATACAGTAATTACCATAAATCAGAATTAATTACAATTAACAGTCACATTAAGAAGTCTTTACATTAATAAAACGAAGTTCAAAAGCCGAACGGCTTGAATACAGAATTAACATGTACGAAGCGAAAACAGTGAATTGTCTAGAACGAACGGCTTTACAAAATTAAACAGCCGAACGTCAAAATAAACTAACATCTAAGCTAAAAAGTGAACGAGCGGTCTAAGGCTCGGCCTTGACTTCCAATTCAACCAGGTTCTCTTCTTCAAACACGTCTCCCAGAGTGGCCTCGCCTTCTGCTAACATCCACACGGATGATCGTTGCAAGGACAGGACGAACATACATAGACAAGTGACAACACAAGGAAATGAAAGGGTAAGCTTATATAATTTAATTCATACACCAACACATACTTTTAATATTTCAATTCACACAACAAGTAAATTAACATATAACAGCATAGAAATATATATACTAGACATATAATTAATCGAGAACAGACCAGTGCTCCGAACTAGTATGGAATCTGTGTAGCTACAGGCGTCCTTGCACCCGAGTGGTGTAGTAACTGTGATACACTCAACAGTTGCACTCGAGGTTAGTCCGTTCTTACGTCGCCCCATGTTAACTTATGGACTAAGGACCTCCTGCCATTCCCACACAATGAACTACTCTCCTCTACGTGAAGATGAGTACAGGAATATATGGAGGACCAAGCAACAGTTAGCAATTGCCCCAGGTCATACTTTTACCAATTTCCATAATCAACATATATGAGTCGTTCCTCCCTGGAACGCTCGTCCAAAATCCATAATCATAAAATCCATTCATATAGTGTTCACCTTTTCAAACTTCATACTTTATGATTCATTTTCATCTTTAGTTTCAAATACTCAAAATAACGAACGTTCAGTTTTCTGAATGAAGAGTGACGACGTTTAAAGCAAGACTTAGAAGAACCCGTTACCAATCAGAATGACTCGACACATGATTATTTGGACGAACGACGTCATTCTACTCAAATCAGTTAAATGAACTGACTCTAGAGTGATATGATCAATATTCAGAATATTTTAAGCTACAAGATGTTAGGTCAAATCACTTGGATTAAGATACAGCAAGATGAGTACTTAACTACATTGGGAACCTTTCGTTTAAAGGAATCGACTGCCAGTCAATGACGAACGCGATAATATACCATTTACTAAGTATTTGGACGAACGCTATTTACGCACGTTTGGAAATCAAAATAAAAGAACGAGCGTTCGGTATAAGACCGAACACTATTTAGGACGAACGCTAGATAGATGACCGGGCACTATTTAGAACGAACGCTTAATATACAAGTCGAGAGCTCATTAGAACGGACGCTCATTAGAACGAACGCTCGGTATACGAGCGAGCACCAATTGAGACGAACGCTTAATATAAGACTAGGCGCTACTTATGACAAACGCTTGGTATAAGACCGAGAGTTCATTAGGACGAGCGCTAAGTATACGACCGAGCGCTACTTATGACGAACGCTTGGTATAAGACCGAGAGTTCATTAGGACGGCGCTAAGTATACGACCGAGCGCTACTTATGACGAACGCTTGGTATAAAACCGAGCGTTACTAATTTAAAGTTTAAAGGTATTCATATACAGCTAAGCTGAACCGAACCTCAAACATACCATTTCATAGGAGGACGCTCGTTCTCGATCAGAGTTCTTTCCGAATGAAAGAATTCCATTTTAAGCCATTTTACCAGAAAACCGAACGGTATAAGACCGTTGGATTACGAGCGTACATTATCAAGGTAAGAATTATCATTTTCAGATTTTTCATCTATTACAATTTCATATTCAACACATCAGTTCATACTTTATGATTCATATCAATGTCAATTTATAAACTTTATAACATTCATTCTA